CACGTGGATGGAGAAGATTAAAGAGAAACTGATGCTGAGTTCTGTCCCCTGCTGCTCTGGGTGTGATTTCCCAGAGCCCAAGAATAACAGAACTTGCTACCCATGGCAGGCAGGGAATCGTTCCTTTTAGAGGGATATGGGCCAAACTGGAAACTGAGGGAAACTGAGGGATGCCTCAGCCTAGTACCCACAGATGGTATTACAGGTTCTCAGGCTCTGCCCATGCCCCTGACCAGCCCTTTCCCTGTTTTCACACAGAAACAGACACAAGCCGAGAGGCAGAAGATTGTGCCCGAGTTTCAGCAGCTGCGGCAGTTCCTGGAGGAACAAGAGCGACTCCTGCTGGCCCAGCTGGAGAAGCTGGACAAGGAGATTGGGAGGCTCCAGACTGACACTGTCAGGAAAGTCTCCGCACAGATTTCCTGTCTCAGTGAGCAGATCAGTGAGCTGGAGGGGACGTGTCAGAAGCCAGCGAGTGAATTCCTGCAGGTGAGACTGAGGGAGAAACATCCCAGCTCCCCACACAGGGAAGGGAGGCTCCTGAATCAGAAGCGCTGGGGTCCAGCTGTCAGATCTGGGTGTAACTCGGCAGGTGCATTGCTGACGTGTGAGTGCCTGTTGTGCTTTGCAGAGTCACAGGCACAGAGCTATTAGAGATGGCAAAGCCCCATTCGCTCAGGGGATCCATGTTCCTGGGGCCAGGGCAGGGCCCCTTGTAATCCCTTCCCTGGGTCCCCTTCCCTGAGTCCCTTGTGTGTGTGCAATGGGTCTGAGAGTCTTTTCTGTCTCTTTTCTCTAGGACATTAGAAGCACCTTGAGCAGGTAGGTGTCTCTCACTCCCCTCACACTGCACAGCGCAGGGAAAGGGCTTGGAGCTGATGTTGGCACCACATCTCCCCAGGGCCCTGCAGCCAGATGTGAGGGGAAGGTCACAGGCTGGACACAAATCTCTGATCAGCGTCAGCCTGCGGCTCTCCCCTGGCCCAGCAGACTCTGGAATTCCCCATTCAGGGCACAGTCTGAGCTCAAGTGCTTCCTGGAGCTGTCACCTCCCTGGGGACTGGCTGCCTCAGGGCTGTGGGGTGGGACATGGGCCTGTCACTGCCGGGCACTGGGCACATTCAGCCCAGGGCAGCAGGGGCCCAGAGGCTGG